CATTTGTCTGCTGCGACTTTCGTGTCTAATTTGTTTAAGTATCGCGCTAACATATTCAATTGTTTGCGCGCTTCATTCTGATCCTTTCCGATCAGAACCAGATCGTCAGCAAATGCAGTAATGGAGACATTCTCGTCTCCCAACTTGACGCCCTCAGTCGTCTCGTCAATATCCTGTATAATTGGATCTACGGCTAAGTTAAATAATAGCGGAGACAGTGGATCCCCCTGCTTGACGCCTCTCAGCAGGTCCACTGTCAGGGTCTCTCTATTCTTACACATTATACTGGTTCGGCAGCCATCGTACATTTTAGTAATATATTCTCCTATTCTTGTAGATTTTCTGGTCTTCTTTGTATACATTGTTCAGAGCAATTAGAGGATAGCAATTATGAAAAATTTTATTACACCCTAGAGCTGGCGAATTGACGGCCCGTGGACCGCATATTACCCTTTCCCCTACTTGCCTGTTTTGCAGAGCCGTAGGGGAACAGTCCTCTCTTTAACTATATGATGTCGCCATCTTTATATTGTCCTTGTGATGAACTGGCGGCTCGTCAGTAGTAGCTCTCGCTCCTACATAGAACAGACTGATAGTGGGAGAATGAACTGACTGTGCAGTCCCCGGCGGAACAGAAGTTCGTCAGCTCTGTAATACGCAATCCAAAAAGTGCTACAGACTTGATAGGTTGACATGTCATTCGCACAGTACTGTGAGAAAGATTGAGTTTAAGACACTCATTAAACGATACTGAGAAAAGAAATGTTCGTCACGTACAGAACTACTCTAATTTCATACATCAGTGTATTTGATAATTGTTTGATATCGAGAATATCATTTATTGTCGTAGACCAATTTTAGAATAGGATAGACTTTGAATATGCAGCCTAGATGATGCCATCGACGAACAACGAGAACTAGCAAAATAAAATGTACATAGTGTTTTCCAGTAATAAAGTTATTTGAAGTCATGTTTGAAAAATAAAAAAATTTTGTATAAAATCCTCTGGATATCATCGTTTAGAGCAAGGATCTTCAACCTTCCACAGCCTTTGGAACTCTTCTAGTTTATAACTTTTGTTATCTGTACAAGTTCCACCTAAACATTCTTTTACATATCACGAAAATCCGTGGGACTAACTCCCCACCCGGGAAAAAATGTAGTTGCAGACCATTCTTTGAATTACACTGAACAATGGTTTTAGGAAGGGATGATGATTGGGGTGAATCTTCAGGGTGTGGAATAAAGGGTAACTCAGGGGAAATCTTCTCTTATATTTATTATATAAAAAAATAAAAATAAAATAAATTTTTGTTACGAACCTACTGCCTTTCCCCCACACATTGTTATTACATACTATTATAATATTATTATTAACATTATTATTAGATACTATTATTACATTATTATAAACATTATTATTAGATATTATTATCATTACCAAACACCTTTATAATTAGAAACCAAAAATTCCAAGCAACCGCCACAGGTAGGAAGGGGGCGAAGTCCGGAAAAACCCATGAAGCGACGCTCGACTTCAGGCCTTTTTCCTGACCATTAGGAAGGTAGGAAGCAAGGTGCCACAACTAGTATAAAACCGATGTACCCGCACAAGGTCGACAGATAGTCTAAAACAATACACCTAGAATGACACCCGCTCGAACTAAACATTAAATAAAACGACATCAAACACATTTCTGGAATTGTACGCTTTTAACCAACTCGAGACGAAGGCGATCTCAACCGTTACGGCCCATTCCGTAACAATTATTCTTAGAAGATTTGACAATCGACCAAACTAAACACTATCCATTTCAAACAATTGATGAACACATTGTAACTGGGTTTGGAAAGTGAAAACAAATACGAATTAAATTTTATTTTCTATGAAACACGTAAACAAAACAAATTATTACACACAAACACAAGGACAAAATAATACAAAATAATACAAAGTAACACAAATAAAATTTAATACAAAAAAATCATTAATGACTAGGCTGGGTCTGTTTATTATCGCAAAGCATATTTATATCCGGAGTAATGGTTGAGATTTGCAAACGAATTTCATCTTCTGTATCTGACCTGTTTCTGTATTTAGCCTTTGTTGCTGCGTACAGAGAGACAGAGATCTTTCACAGATATACGTTGATACAAACGACATCAAGTATTTTACAGCTCGTTTAGCAATCTCAGGATTTTCATTCATAATTTGAAGCCAAAAATGCATAATATCAACTTGAAAAAATGTTATTCTTAATAAGGAATCGGTTGATATATTAATGTGTTGTTCTTTTTCTTTTATTGGCAATTGAGAGGTATCGCAAGATTCTTCAAAAGGATTTTGAATCCAAGATGATTTTTCTGTTTGGCTAGGAAAATATTCCAAAAATGTTTCTTGTAAATCTGATAAATGTTGCAACAAATAATTATATTTGACATTTTCATTGAGCTTAGCGTTGTTCATTACCAAAATATTCTGTAAATTAAGAAAGCATTCAGTATTTCCTTTTAAAGTACAATCTGCCCAAAATTTCAATTTGAAAATAGTAGCTCCATTTTATTTTGTACTTTGAAAATATTGATATTTTTCGCTTGGAGGGAAGTGTTAAGTTCATTAAAATACGCAAAAATATCTATCCGCTTCATTTAATTGATAAGCCAATTCAGACGCATGTTCAGTTAAGAACATTCTTATTTCATCTTTTAATTCACAAAATCTTGTCATCACTTTTCCACGTGATAACCATCGGACTTCTGTGTGAAGCAACAGTGTCTTATGTAAACTACCCATATTTTCACATAATAAGGTAAAAATTCTTGCATTCAACGGCCTTGATTTGATAAAATTTACAATTTTAACACAATCGTTAAGAACAACTTTCAGTTCTTCTGGCATTTTCTTTACTGCAAGAGCTTGCCGATGAAGACAGCAATGGGTGCTCCTAATGTGAGGATTTTTCTGTTTTATGCGTGCAACTGCACCCTTCACATTACCAAGCATTGCCTTGGCTCCATCAGCACATACTTGTTGACATAAATCCCAAGATATATCGTACTTCTCGAAATACGAATCAATCAATTTAAAAATTTCTTCGCCTGTTGTTTTGCAGAGCAGAGCTTTGCAAATAAGCATATCCTCTTGAGCAGCAATTCCATGAATATATCGCACAAAAACGAGTAAAATCGCTAATCCAGCGACATCTGTGGATTCGTCCAGTTGAAGGGTAAATCCATGCTGAGAATTTTTCAAACGCTTTATGAGTTCCAGTTCACAGTAATTTGACATGTTCTTGATGCGCCTTGAAATTGTAGTATCCGAAAAAGGGATCAACCAATTTAACATGTTCTTCTCCAATCATGCAAGAAATTATATCTTTAGCACATGGTTTCACTAATTTTTCTGCAATGGTGTAAGCTTCACCTTGTTGAGTAATACGATAACTGGCCCGATAAGATACTTCCAAAGCATTTTTATTATCGTGATGTACAACACCATCAGTTCAGATTGGCCGACAGATCCAGACGAGAAATGGCTAAAGGCGGAAAGGCAGGCTTATTGATTCAGAATTGTTATTACCATTTAAAAATAACTGATAATCGCTAATGCTTTTCTAAATTTTTGTTCTTGTATTCTACTTTCGATGCAACAGTGTCCGATCGGTCTTCGTGTGACGTTAGTGATAACGATTCGATCAAAGTCTGGCTTAATGGAAAAATCCGGTAAGCGAGCTTCACGTAAAAGGCGAAAACTTGCTGGTTCCTTGAATGCCGTATACGGTAGTGACGTTCTTCGTCTTTCTGAAAATTTAAAATTCCTGAAATTTCTCGGTGTTCCCGTAGGAATACACAACCTCCTTTATCGAGCTCGTTTTGGTAATGAAACAGGACTCCGGGAGCATTAAAATGCTTTGGCTGTCATGTGAGGGAATAAATTATTATATTGTTCTTCTACGAAAAATAAGTATAGACCAAACGTAAATTTTTTGGTTTTATTGCATTCTGATGTTTAAACTCTGATGTTTAAATTCTGATGCTTTTTAAACTTGTGAAGATGTAATATCGTAGTCCTTAATGTTTTTAGGTTGTTCCGTGAGCCCTTGTATTTTTCGTATGTTTAGAAAAGGACCAACAGATTCTACACTTTTAACACTGTTTAGTCGTCCTAATAGATTTACGGCGTTTTCCAGACACGGGGCTGGAAATTATTTGGTCCTTCGCAGCAGTTGTCAATTTGGGAGGCCATCGAGCACTTTAACGTTTATTTAGAAGTTCTATGCTTTTCTTCTCGTGGCTCTCGTCCACATCTGTTTGTTATATTTTAACTTCTCAGGGTTTTTGGTCTCCACTTTGGTATGTTTTTGTTAGCGACGAAGCGCTGCACAGACTTATTACCTGCTGCGTTTATTGCTTCGAGACGCGCGAGTTTCCGCGCGCGTCACTCAAGGGTGCGGACGACACTTGAGAGTGACCGTTGACTTGGGGACGTCCCTTTAGTTCGTTCTTTGTTTAATAGCTTGCCAATCGCGTATAGTCAACCACCTCCTTTGTCGAAGTCGAAATTGTAATAACCAATCCGCGTGTCTCACCCCCGCCGAATGTATCCTGACCGAGGTATCTTCGAACTTTTTCTGAGACCTCGAAAAAAGCAGAATCCATTCGGCTAGCAACAAGTAACATCGAAATCTTCCGGAAACCAAACACGAGCAAATTAGTTAGTATCCCGATACACGGGAGTGGCCCTTCGAATTTGTAATCAGTCGGCACAAACGTGCAAATTCAGCAAAACTCGAAAGATCGCAAGATTACCGCGAGTAGACTAAACAAACACTTTTCTACATTCTTTAAAATAATGGTAGTCTGTTGTAGGCTCCATAGTAAGGTTACGAGAAATTTCTTTAGTGCATAATTTTGGATATCTATTAGCTGTTACTTTAATGTCATCAAAATTAACTTCAACAGGTCTGTCGGGCCTAGGCAAGTCTTTGATGTCTAAATATTTTTACAAATGGTTCTGGTTGTTACCACCGCGTTATGTTTAAGTTCAAATTTATATAATATAACGTATGTCAACTGAATTTCATCGATCTTCACATTTTCGTCTATAAATTAATGCAAAAGAATGTTGAATGAAAAACTTCTGAACAAAAGGTATCTATCGATTGTACTGAATTAAATAACCACCAACTAGTGTTTGTTTAAATAAAATATAAAGCACAATCGACGTGAAAGTAGAACTTTAAAAAGAACTCAAGCACTTATAGGACAATTTAATACATTTAACTGTCAGTTTTATAGACTTGTTATTCTTAAGATGTATAGTAGATGTACTTACTTGTATTATAACAGTTAGTAAGTATAGTAATTACATGCTATAATGTAAATATTAACAACAATATTTTATCTGTAATCTCATCCATATGAAAAGTATAGAAGTTGTTAACGCAGCTTCCCGCGCTTCGTGATAGTTGGAAGGTCGGGGTGGCGTTGGAAATTATTGCACGTATGTGCCAACTACTTATTGTCGCGATGGTGATAGCACTCTATTTTGAAATGTCGATTATTGCGGAATGGACCGCACCTGTGGTTTAACAATGTCGAATATCGCGGACTGGCGCGTTCAAGGTAATGTCGAGTGTTTTTACTCAGACTTTTAGAATCTTTTTGAATGTCGTGAATTTGCTGTATATGTATGTATGATTTCGTCAAGGTGGGGAGTTAACCTCATCGACAAATCGTCGGCCTTTCACCCCCTAGGGCCGCCCTCCTCCGTGGTCCGCAGAGTGGGGTGTAGGCGGAGAGGGAGAGACGGTCCCAAAAGCGGTGTCAGCCCCGCGTGGCAATCTTGCCGAAACGTTGATTTTACGGGTTTATGGTATGTTTACCGTTACTGAGCACGCAGAGGCAAGTACCTGGTCACCATGTGGCCCGCAGAAGTGGAGAATTTCCGTGGCCATCAAGTAATAAACCGGATTTGCCCTCTGGCTTGAATAGGCTATTGTTATCAAGAAAATCGTAGAAAACACTTCTCAAATGTAACGTCGCCTGGAATCTGTGCCATAAACCCCGGTTGGTTAAACAGAAGTAAATATAAAATGTGCTCTCCAGATTCGTATATTTTCACACACACTACCAAGTGGCAGAGGACGTGGTACAATGGGCCATTTGAAACATTGGAATACAGGATAATTGAGTATGCACGAAGATTATACTAATTTTGCTTTGGACTTCATTTGTTTGATTTTTAAGTACATGTGTTTACTCAAGTTTCCTATTCATGTGTGGCAGTATCACTGAATGTTAAGTAGATGTAAAAAGTGTTAGATACTGTGTAAATTGTAAGTAATATTTTGTGCGGCATTGAGGTATACCATTTTCCGGAAATACAACTATTTCACTTTAACATGTAAATAAAATATTTTGCTACAGTTTAAATGCAGTAAAATAGTTAGTTTAAATTTCAAATTTTACATGGTGCGGAAGCCTAACTAAAATGTACATAAAAATTTGTTCGTTGCAGCATTTCAATAATTTGTTGTAGTATTTTATTATTGATATGTACATTTGATATAATATATCATTAATTTATATTTCAAATGTTTCATTCTTAATGTTTAATGCAATCTCTTTGTTATGAGTCACGTATGTGCGCATAGAATGTTGTGTTCGCTTTAGGCCATTTATAACTTCAAATATTAGGAGGGATTTAAACATAAAACGTGTGAATGCTGACACCACTTTATCTTAGCTGTTCATTAACCCTATATTTCATGGCAGACAAGGCTTATTTGGTAGAGACCGAACGTAGATTAATGTTTCCTTACGGAGGTGAATCTATGTTCCTAAATCCCGCATGGTCTTTTAGACGATTATTTTCCGAAATGTCGCGCGACGACGTAAATTTTCGGAAGTGTGCTCTACCGAAGATTTACCGGATCCTCTGGGACTTGTGTTCGTTTTCACTGTTTTCATTCGTTTAATATCGCCAGGAAACTACTAGTGCTTTTTTGACTTTCTTTATGCGAGAAATTCAGTTGGTTATAAGTTAAAAAGATTAGGAAAGAAATCGCATTAAATGTTTGATAAATACAAGAATCCTTTATGCGTATATGTTAGGACCTTTGATAGCTGCGAAGAATTTGTACTTCGTATATTAACTTTTTCACAGCCGGTGCGGCGGTTTTGACGCGAGAGCCTCAGCTGGATGCCACGTGCAATTTTCAAAAATCTATAGCTGAATGCCGCAAGGTTTTGGCATTAAGATAGAAGTGAGAATAAGATATAATGATTTCTAATTAAGTTATCACTTTTATTTTAGGTTAGCTTCAGACTTGAGGAACTGAAATAATAAAGTCCTAGTAATTATAAAATACACATAACTCGCTGTAAATATAAAATGACGTTGAACTACGTCAGCGGCTGCCAACGTGTTAGCATTATTCAAATTTATTGATTCGTTGGTTGGCGTTCGGAATAAGACTGATTCGAAATTCGGAAGAGGACATGCATCTAAGTTACCGAAGGCGGAGTTAAATTTGGGAGATGAAAAAATGGGAGAATATAGAAATTCGATTATTGGTCGTAGAGTATTTCTTAAGTAGATGGAGAGAGGGTAAAAGTGGTGGTAGCAGGATGAGGTGTCTGGGGTTTGGGAAATTCCGGAAAAAAGCAGATCGGACATGAAAGAAGGAAAGTACTCGTTAATAATTAGGAAGTCGAAACAATAGATCGTAAAAACGAGTCATGAAAACGCCGTTCGTTTATGATTTTACCGAGGGTACGCGTCTCTAACCGTCTCTGCTAATCCTATGGGCCGCGGGATCCTGCGGGTCCGTTTTACAACTCCCTTGAAATCTTAAATTAAAGAAAAGAAAATGTTGGGTACGGAACATTAGTTCTTGGACTTATTTAAAAAAAAATGTATTTCGACGATTCATTCGATTTTTATTCCAGTTAAAATAAATTTTAGTAAATATTATACATGAAGCAATGCCACAGATTTCTAATAAATTCATAAAAAAAAAACAAATGGCCACTTGTTTGTTCTTGTTTTTGTGGAATAATTTCGTACCATCTGATCCATCGAATCCGTGCCACCCACCTTTTGTGGTATTGTAAAATTCGATAATATCCGGTTTATTTCGCGAATCCGGATTAATTTTAGCATCGTGGTGTGTACTGGATAATAAAATTACAGATTTTGCTTTTTTGGGTACAAATGAAACTATTGTTAATTGTTTTGTGAATCCAAAAATGGTATTTTTTCTTAAGGTTTCAATTATTAGTAAA